GAATGAAAGTGGGGACACCACTACCAATCTTACAAAAATAAAAAGGATTATTAGGGAATACTATGAACAATTGTGTGTAATAATTAGATAACCTAAATGAAACGGACAAATTCCAATAAAAATACAAACTATTGACACAGCTCAGGAAGAAATGGACAATTTGAATAGATAGCAAATGTATTATTGATATTTATTTATTTTATTATTATTATTTGACACACAGTCTTTATCTGTCGCCCAGGCTAGAGTGCAATGGCATAATTTCAGCTCACTGCAACCTCTGCCTCCCGGGTTCAAGTGATTCTCCTGCCTCAGCCTCCCAAGTAGCTGGGATTACAGGCACACACCACTGTGCCTGGCTGATTTTTGTATTTTTAGTAGAGATGGAGTTTTGCCATGTTGGCCACTCTAGTCTCAAACTCCTGACCTCAGGTGATCCACCTGCCTCAGCTTCCCAAAGTGCTAGGATTACAAGCATAAGCCACTGTGCCTGGCCTATTATTTATATTTATAAATATCTATCCATAAATCTGAATACATAACAAATAGAGATTTAACTAGTAATCAAAAATCTTCCCACAAAGACAAGCTCAGGCCCGGAAGTCTTCACTTTTGTGTTCTACCAAACACTGAAAGAATACCAATCCTTCAAAAACTCTTCCAAAATACAGAAAGAGAGGGAAATTCCCTACTCATTCTATAAGGCCAGTTGTCATCCCGATACTAAAACTAAAACATCTCAAGAAACTACAGACCAATAAACATACCTTATGAACATCAATGTAAAAATCAACAAAACAACATAAACCATAAAAAAATTGAGACTTATCCCAAGAATGCAAGGTTGGTTTGATGTAGAAAAAGCAATGTAATACACTACTTAATAGAACAAAGAAGAAACCACACAATCATTTCAATCTCCACAGAAAAAGCACTTGACAAAATTGAATATCCTTTCATGATAAAAACACTCAAACTAAGAATAGAGGCAAACTTTCTCAATCTGATAAAGGGTATCTATGAAAAAAATCAGAGATAACATCATACTTAATGGTGAAAGACATGAAGTTATCCCCCTTAGGATCAGAAAAAAGACAAGGATGTCTCCTGTCAGCACTTTTATTCAACACTGCACTAGAGGTTCTAGTCACACTTACATCTTTTTGTAGAGACATGATCATTTATATAGAAAATTCTAAGTAATCCACAAAAATTTATTCATGTTAATAAAGACATTTGGCAAGGATGCAGGATACAAGATCAGTACAAAAAAAATCAGTTATATTCCTATCCACTAGCAAAAGGCACTCCAAAAAATGGAATTAAGAGAACAATTCCATTACAATAGCATTAAAAATAATAAAATACTTAGGAATAAATTTAAAAGTCCAAGACTTGTACACTTAAAAACCACAAAACATTATTGAAAGAAAGCAAAGAAGACCTATAAAGATGCCCTGTGTTATAAGTGTAAAGATGTCTTGTGTTCATGAATTAGAAGAGTTAATATTGTTAACTCCAAGATGGCAACACTTCCCAAATGATGCCCATCAAAATTCTAGTTGGCATTGTTTTTTGCAGAAATTGACAAGCTGATCCTAAAACCCATGGAAATGCGAGAACCCATAATAGCCAAAATAATCCTGAAAAAGAAGTTGTAGGACTCATACTTGCAAATTTCAAAACTTAAAGCTACAATAATTGAGACAGGCGTTAAGTACTTGCATAACGAGAGACATATACATCAATGGAATAGAACTGAGAATCCAGAAATAAACCCCATACATTCATGAGCAATTGATTTTTGACAAGGGTGACAGGGCAATTGAATGGGGAAAGAATAGGTTTTTCACAAATGGTACTGGGACAACTGGATATCCACATGCAAAAAGAATGAAGATGAACCTCTACCTCAAACTATGTACAAAAATTAACTCAAAATGGATCAAAGACCTTAAATGTATAAGCTAAAACTATAAAACTCTCAGAAACATAGGCACAAATTTTCAAGACTTTGGAGTAGGCAATGGCTTCTTAAGGCTGAAATCACATGCAATGTGAAAAAAAATTGAAAAATTTCAAAACTAAAAACTTTGGCTGGGTGTGGTGGCTCAAACCTGTAATCCCAGCACTTTGGGAGGCCAAGGTGGGAGGACTGCTTAAACTCAGGAGTTCGAGACCAGCCTGTGCAACATAGTGAGACCCCATCTCTATTTTAAAAAGCAAAAAACAAAACAACACAACTTTGTACTTCAAAGCACACTATCAAGAAAGTGAAAAGAACACACAGAATGGGAGACTATACTTGCAAATCATACATCTCATCAGGGATCAGTAACCCCTATACATATATACACACACACACACACATATAGAATCCTTATATATATACATATACATAAGAGAGAGAACCCTTACAACTCAACAATAAAAGACAAATAGCCAATTTTAAAACTGAAAAAAGGATCTTAATCTGCATTTCTTCAAAGATACACAAAAGGCCAATCAGCAAATGAAAAGATGCTCAACATCAGTCATTAGACAAATGCAAATAAAAATGAGCTACCACTTCACACTCACAATAATGTCGACAATAAAAAAGACTACAATTGTTGACAAGGACAAGGAAAAACAGGAACCTTTACACATTGTTGATGAGAATGCACAATGGGGCAGGTCCTTTGGAAAACAGTGTGGCAGTTTCTCAAAGCTAAACAGTTTCCTATAATTCAGCAATTCAATTCCTAGGTATAGACATAAGATAACTGAAACACATGTTCACACAATAATTTGTACACAAATGTTCACAGCCGTATTATTTATAATAACCAAAAAATAGAAAGGAACCAAATGTCTATCAACTGATAAATGCATAATCCAAAGGTGTTATATCTATATAACAGAATATCATTCGGTCATAAAAAGGAACGAAGTACAAATGCATACTATAACATTATAGTAAGTGAAAGAAGTCAGTAACAAAAGACCACATACTGCATGATTAAGTTTATATAAAATGCCCAGAAAGAGAAATACACAAACAGAAAATATATTAGTGGTTGCTAAGGGCTAGAAGAGAGAAAAATGGGAAGTGACTTCATGGGTCCTGGTATTTTCCCTTTTTTCTTCTTTTGAGACGGAGTCTTGCTCTGTCGCCCAGGCTGGAGTGCAGTGGTGCGATCTCGGCTCACTGCAACCTCTGCCTCTCGGGTTCAAGTGATTCTCATGTCTCAGCCTCCTAAATGCTGGGATTACAGGCGTCTGCCACCACGCCCAGCTAATTTTTTGTATTTTTTTGTAGAGATGGGGTTTCACCATGTTGGCCAGGCTGGTCTTAAATGCCTGACCTCAGGCAATCTGCCCACTTTGGCCTCCCAAAGTGCCAGGATTACAGGCATGAGCCGCTGTGCCTGATGGGAGTACTGGGTTTTTTCTTAGGACTGATGAAAATGTTCTAGAATGAGACAGCGGCAATACTTGAAAAATCTTATGAATTTCACTGAATTGTACCTTTTAAAAAAAGGAACAACGGATGCCTTCAAACTTTTGCAAATGATTCTTCTCAACTTTGAATTTCATATACAAACTTAAATATTAGGATAATAGTATAGGGAAAGTGGCCCTTGGGCTAGGGGAGGGGAGCAGGTGCTCTATTAAAGAGAGCTAACTCCTCAACTACTATAACAGAAAGGTAATATTTACTGTTTAAAATGTAAACATTAGGCCAGGCGCAGTAGCTCATGCCTGTAATCCCAGCACTTTGGGAGGCTGAGGCAGGTGGACAACTCAAGGTCAGGAGTTCGAGACCAGCCTGGCCAATATGGTGAAACCCCGACTCTACTAAAATATGAAAAATTAGCTAGGCGTGGTGGCGGGTGCCTGTTATCCCAGCTACTTGGGAGGCTGAGGCAGGAGAATCGCTTGAACCCAGGAGGCAGAAGTTGCAATGGGCCAAGATCACACTACTGCATTCCACCCTGGGTGACAGAGCGAGACTCCATCTCAAAAAAAGAAAGACTAGGAATCTCTGAGTAACTCAGAGTAATGAGGCCCACAAAGGGCCAGGAACTGACACATTTGATTTTTTATAGTCTCTGCATTTACTACTTTAATATAAATTTTTAGTGATTATTAAAAGAGAAAAACACTATCATACTCTTAAGAAACTAGGGCCAGGCACAGTGGCTCACACCTGTAATACTAGTGCTTTGGGAGGCCAAGGTGGAAGGATCACTTGAGACCAGGGGTTTTGAGATCAGCCTGGGCAACAACAGTAAGACCTAGTCTCTACCCCCCAAAACTATTTTAATTAGCCAGGCTTGCATGCCTGCAGCCTGCAGTCCCAGTTACTCTGGAAGCTATGGGAGGAGGATCACTTGAGCCCAGGAGTTCGAGGTCACAGTGAGCAATGATCATACCACTGCACTCCAGCCTGGGTGACAGAAAACAATTTTTAATAAAATTTAAAAGAAGAAACTGAGCCACCTGAACAACGTAATAGAAAAGGTCTAGTCCTGGGGAAAGAAGACTGGATATCATGTCCCATGGTAATTATGCCCTGTGTGATCCTGAGCTAATCACCAAGTCTTAGTCTCCTCACCTGTAAAAGTGAGGATAAAATTACCTGCATTATGAGAATCAAATGAAACAAACTAGATTAAAAAGCATTGTTTTAAAAATTTTAAATTATATATTAAATACTATCTCCATAATACTGCAACTATCCAAATATTTTAGATCTTATCAAAGAGATATTCATGATAAATTGTCTGTCTCCAAGATTTACTTTAACTTGAATCACCTGGAAGGGCAACCAGACTAGAAAAGATTCAAGGAGTAACTATAATCCACCAGCTCAATGAAGCAATGTGCTTATTATCTATTACAGACAAGATTCTTTTCCCCTGAGAGATTATGTCTTTTAAAAATTATGTGTATGGTTACCTTTGCATGTCTGTACATCAATTACAAAAAAAAAACAAACCACCAAACACATTTACCTTCACAGTCAAATCCTCATTACCCAGCGTGACATGAACTTGAATAGGGGGGTAAACACCTCTGTTGGCATGGTGTTCCATAGTGGCTCTCATTGCATTCTGAAACACATTAGGGTTGTATTAAAGATACAGCTTTTTAGAAAGGACAAAGTATAATTTTCAAGTACATATGCACTATTTGAAGTTTTAAAATTTGATGAAAATATGCCAAAGAATCACAATTCTTATAACTACATTTAAAGTTTTTTTTTTTAATGGAGTCAATTTGGGGGGGATCTAAAGGATATTCTGATCTAAAGATGCCAACTAAATTCTGCATATTTTCCAAAGTCAGACTTCAAAACACTTTAGTTACATTAAAGCAGAAAACTCTGTTCAAACACTTTTATAATTTTAGTAAATAATGGGCAAAACATTTTTGAAAATGTAGTTTCAGCTCTATTTTCAGAACTATTTTAAAAACTGTCACAAATTTCTTTAAAGGAAAATAATTTTTTTCATATAGTAGTAACAGCGATGGTTGTATTTGAAGGAGCAATGAATCCCTTTATCTCTAGCTTGAAATTAAGGGTACTGACACTGTAAAGCTGCTTTGACTACTTTCTAAAGGAAATAGGGTACACAGTGCCAACATATCAGAAGCCTTGAACAATATCATGACATTCAGCATTGCAGTAGAAAATGATACAAACTAGATGTAACTAAAAAGGCATCTGAATTTGGCAGTAAGTGTGTGTGGCCCTGGCACAGCAATTGCGATTGAGTCCCCTTATGGAGGAGATTCCATCATTTCCATCAAAGGCAGTTTAAGATTAGGTTCCAGGTGAAAGCCATTATTACTGACATTATGTACAATATGTAATATAATATGGAATGCCTCAATCATAGGGCACAAAATCTTTATGCCACTGGAATTTCAAGGAAAAAATTCGTGTTAATGCTTTAAGTGCCCATCACTTCTTGTTTAACAACTTGGATAAAAAGATTTTGGGGCTAGGTGCAGTGGTTTATGCCTGTAATCTCAACACTGGGAATCCAAGGCAGGACTGCTTGAGGCCAGGAGTTCAAGGGCAGCCTGGGTAACAGAGTGAGACCTCAATGCTACAAAAAATAAAATAAATATTTTTGAAAAGATTTTGTAAGGTATTAAATACATTTTTGCTGTCTTAGAAGAAAGAACATTTCGGTGGTGTTCTAAGATACTCGGTCAGTTTTTCTGTGTTTCAGTGCACTTTTCCTTTACATTATCAGATTGAAAGCCACCCCCTCTCTCTTCTAGTTTGCTGCTGGCTGATGAAACAGAACTAAAGAGAGACTACAAGCTTCTGATGGAGGGCAGTCGTTTTCACCCACCAGGACCTGTGCCCCTCACTCCTCACCCATTTTCCTGTCAACCAGCAAGTATCATGGGCAGGGAAAAAAGATACTCTCAATATTACTAGCATAATTTGTTTTCAAAATTTGTTGTAAAGAGCAAAGATAACAGCAAAAACCCTGTAAGTCAATATAAATGACCTCCCCCTCCCAAGAAAAGCCAGACGAAAAAAAGAATTCTGGTCCTTTGAGGGTAGCAAGTTGAGAATCACTCATCTAAATATTGTTTAAAAATGTAAAGATAACTTTACTGAGCATCTATATGTAATATGTTGCCACTGTACTGGACACTTAGTATGTTATTTCCAATCATCATAAACAATCCTGGACAGTATTCTTGTTTTACAGAAAAGGAAACTAAGGCTCAGAGAGGTTGAGTGACTTGCCCAAGGTCACACACATATTAAGTGCCATAATTGGGATTCAAACCCAGGTCTTTCTGACTCCATAGTCTGAGCTCACTACTACATGGAGGTATCTCCCTGTGTTGATAAAAGGCTGATCTCCAGCAATGTGATACGATACTGACATGAAATGGCACTTCTTAATAGGAGAACCTAGTGGAATATTTGGCTTTCAGAGCAGATTCCTAACCTCAGGAAAGTACTGGTAAAGGTTATGTAATACTATTTTACAAACCTTGAAAAGTTCAAACACCATGTGATAGAGATGGGATGGTACATAAACCACTTGTATTGGCTGTCCTGGTGATTTTGCTACAGAGCAGAAGAGAAAAATATGAAAGTACAGAGAGATGTGCTTTAAAGCATTTTTAAGAAAAAACTGTGTAGTGATGAAAAGAAAACATTAACTACGGAGGACAGTATCATCTGGGGGAGAACTGCTACACCATTTCTTCAATGTATTAGTGTTTGAACCCATACCCACAAGTATTTACAACAGACAATGACAAGAGTCCTGTGGTCATTTCTCACAATCTTGTGTAACAATCGAACCAACCCATGCAACCATTTTTCTCTAGGATGGTAAAGTCTTTTTAAAGATCACTCAACTGTTGAGTAGGAATTTTACTTTTCAAATAGAGAAGTGTTAAAGTCCATAAATTCCACAGTCCAATTCACATGCATACATTCTTCTTTTTCTTTTTCTTTTTTTTTTGAGACGGAGTCTTGCTCTGTCGCCCAGCCTGGAGTGCGGTGGCGCAATCTCAGCTCACTGCAACCTCTGCCTCCTGGGTTCCAGCAATTCTCCTACCTCAGCCTCCCGAATAGCTGGGATTACAGGCACCCACCACCACGCCTGGCTGATTTTTCTATTTTTAGTAGAGATGGGGTTTCACCATATTGGCCCGGGCTTGTCTCAAATTCCTGACCTTGTGAGCCACCCGCCTTGGCTTCCCAAAGTGCTGGGATTACAGACATGAGCCACCGCGCCCAGCCCACACATTCTTTAAGCCATTTTCAAAATGTTTCACCTGGGCGGAATATTGTTTATTTCAGACATTTCGATGGATATAAAGCTGAATAAAAAAAATATGAGCTAGCATCAATTTCTCACAGCAGTTCAGGTTTGCAAACTGTCACTTGTACATTGTGATTGTTATTTACCAAATGCTATGCTACCATCATGGCTCAAAAGAGTTAATATGGCTTCAGAAAACCACCAGGCAATGCTATTTTCAATTGCGTAACTTCACTGCTCTCTCACTCTAAGGTCCAGAATACAGCTCAGTAAAAGCCTATTTCATTTTATTCTTTCCACCACACCTTCTTAAAGTGTCATCCTAGGAAATGTTTTTCTCTGTCAAACTACCATGCCTTCAGGAAAAAGAGACTCATCAATCCCCCTTCAAGGCATCTAAACCCTTTTTATCCAAAAGGCACTCATCACAGTAAAAAGAAAACCATCAGAGACAAACACATTCTCAAATAGATGAGCATCTTTCTTTCCTCTTTTACAAACCCAGTCTTTCTACGTCCTCAACAACAGAAAATTATTTATAACTCAGGAAGTAGAAAAAGGGTAATTCTTACATTATTGAAGTGCATGTAAAAGTCAAATGTAACTTTCTTGGCATCATTTTTTTCTATGACTAAACAGAAAATAAAAAATAAGCAAAGAATCAAAGTTATCAATTAAAAATAAAGAAAATGAGGCACAAAAAGCCAAATTTTTTCATAAAGAATCTGACTACATATATATTTATAGATACACTTTTTACATGATTACTATCCTTTAGCCTTCATATCCAATGAATTTGATGAAAAAAGTCATCTTCCATTAAAACATTTAAATTCTTATCCCTTATCAAGTAATCAACGCACTAATCACTGAGAAAAAGACAACATCAGGCTTACCATTTAGTTCTCCAAGTTCTAGTTCGGGAGAGTTAATATAATACAAATCACACAGACGCCTAGCATTTTCATAGCCATCTAGTGCAAATCAAAACAAAACAAAAAAGGATTTAATAAATATACTTCCCTTTCATGCATTAAGATGGCAATAGTATTGACAAATGAAAGTCTTAAACTCTCTACAGAAGAAAATATACTTTGATAGTTTAGGGAAAGTCTCTGCTTTTTTTTTTTTTGGTGGAGACATGGTCTCGCTATATTGCTGAGGTTTGTCTCCAGCTCCTGGGCTCAAGGCCCCCAACCAGGTACAGTCTTTCTTTTCTTTTTTTTTTTTTTTTGAGACAGAGTCTTGGTCAACCAGGTTGGAGTGTGGTGGCGCTATCTCAGCTCACTGCAGCCTCCACCTCCCCGGTTCAAGTGATTCTCCTGCCTCAGCCTCCCAAGTAGCTGGGACTACATAGGCATGTGTCACCACACCCAGGTAATTTTTGAATTTTCAGTACAGGTGAGGTTTCACCATGTTGGCCAGGCCGGTCTCGAACTCCTGACCTCAGGTGATCCACCCGCCTCAGCCTCCCAAAGTGCTGGGATTATAGGCATAAGCCACCGCACCTGGCCCAGGGAAAGTCTAAGTGTGACATGACAAAGCTGAATAGCCACAAACAATAAATGACAAATATAACTACAAAAAAATGTAAACGTGTATATGCTAAAAAGACACCAACAACAATGCAAAAAAGAAAAATAACAGGTTGAAGAAAATATTTCTTATCTATATAACAAAACTTAAGAGTTGGTTAGGAAATACTTTTATCCACTGTTTGATACCTTTTTAGAGATACCAAAAATTTATATGCATTTAAATGTTTTTAATTCTAGGAATCTTACCCTCTAAAATACTAGCAAAAGTAAGCATGTATTTAAGGATGTTCACAGCAGAACTGCTGGTATCGGTGGTAACAAAAAAATTAAAACAACCTAAGTGTACGCCAACAGGAGAATGAATTAATACATACTGATACATTCCATACAGTCATTCAAAATCTTGGGGTATATCCAGATGTACTGAACAGCCAGATGTCTGCAAACTTGTAGAAAAATCACAGAGCACCCCATTTTCTAAAAACAACAATGTAAGGCTAATATCAATTGTGTATGTGTACAAGTGGTATAAATAGAAAAAAGTGTGAAAGGATTCAAACCAACCTGTTATGAATTACTGCTCATAGTGTAAGGAATTAGAAACAGAGGAGCAGGGACTTGAAATCTTTTTTAAGTGAAAGATACCCTCAGCTGGGCTCAGTGGCTCACGCCTGTAATCCCAGCTCTTCAGGAGGCCGAGGCAGGCAGGGGTTCCAGACCAGCCTGGCCAACATGGTAAAACCCTGTCTGCACTAAAGATACAAAAATTAGCCAGGCGTAGTATTGAGCATCTGTAACTCCAGCTACTGGGGAGGCTGAGGCAAGACAATCGCTTGAACTCAGGAGGCAGAGGCTACAGTGAGCTGAGATTGCAGCACTGCACGCCAGCCTGGGCAACAGAGTGAGACTCTGTCTCAAACAAAACAAAACAAAAAAGATATCCTCTATAGTATCACCAAACTTTGCCTATCTATAATTCTATCAATAAAATAGTCATCCTATACATAATGCACAAATAATACTATAAGGTTATTTTCAAACCCATGCATTTGTGCCTACCATTTTATCTCATGATACAAATAGTTGTTTAATAGTAAGAAATAATAGTAACTTTGATTTTTGTATCTTTTTTGTAAGGAGAAATGTCAGTATTTACCTTTAATAACTTCAACTACATTGCAGTTTGGATTTATGCTTCCAATGTGTTTTCGATGAGACGGACTTCCTTTGCCTTTTCCCCCAAACAATAAAGCTATCCAAAAAGACAAAACCAACAAAATAAGCTAAACTACCTAATGCTCTTTTCCAAATCTGAATAGTGTTTAAATTGTACCAAACAGTAGAACAAATATTTGCCTTTAGGATAAACACAGTATTTTACATTCAATAAAAATACCTTTCTTGATGGCAGTCTATTTACTTCTCTTAATTAGCCAAAAGGTAAAACTAAATTTTCTACCTAAATGGAAGTTTCCTAAATACATTTAAAATATGTCAACACATCTCATTTAGCTGCTTCTCTTGACTCAGGACACTTACAGTGCTGATTGAGTAACATTCTAATTGAAATGCGACTCATGTAGAATCGATCCAAAAAGTACTGAACATTCTGGCTGGTGACAGGATCCACCCCAAAGCTCTCCTTGTATTCAATCACACCCTGGGCCATTGTGGGAATGACATCATTGTGTCGGTTTCTGATCCGTATCACAGTATCTGTAAAGCTAAACAAACCCATCTGTCAAAACAGCCAAATATTTTGACAAGTAAACTTAGTACAAAAATGTAAGTTTAACCAACTATGCTAGACAAAAATCCCTAATTTACTAAAAGGAAAATCAGTTCATGTTTTCCTATACTTATTTAAATGTATTTCAAATCATAAAATATACCAAATCTATGGAAGTATAATGACCTCCAAAATAAAACTTTCAAAATGTAATTATTTTCTTGGTTTCCTAAGAGTAAGGCTGTGACAAAACATAATCCTAAAAATGTTAATGGTTTTAACTGCTATCAACTAAGGTTATCTGAGCACTTGCTAAGAGGATGGTATTCCAGAGATATTCTGCATAGAAGACAAAGCACTTGCCTCTAGGGAACACCTGCTCTGCTCTGCAAGGAATCAAGATGAATGAGCCAATAAAGCCTGCCTGGTTTAGAACTATTCCCTAGGGTTCAAAGAGAGAGAAGGAAACACTTAGGACAGAAAAATGGAAAAAGAATTATCATTTCATTTATCCTATGAGTTTATAAAATGGGAGAGGAAAAGTAAACAATTATATTAAAAGATAAATCTTCAAATCATCTAGTAGCCTTCCCATTTCTGTCACTTAGAAGACGTTTCATGGTTAAAGAACTAAATAAAAGACAAAAGAGAAAAGAAATCTTTTTTTTCTTTTTTTGAGATGGAGTTTTGCTCTTTTTCCCCAGGCTGGAGTGTAATCACGCAATCTTGGCTCACTGCAACCTCTGCCTCCCAAGTTCAAGCGATTCTACTGCCTCAGCCTTCCTCAGTAGCTGGGATTACAGGTATGCACCACCACGCTTGGCTAATTTTGTATTTTCAGTAGAGATGGGGTTCCTCCATGTTGATCAGGCCAGTCTCAAACTCCCGACCTCAGACTATCTGCCCACCTCAGCCTCCCAAAGTGCTGGGATTACTGGCATAAGCCACTGTGCCCGACCCAAGAAGTCTTAATTATGCAGTAACAAAACCAATTTTCTAACATAACCCATCTGAATTTACACTTCCAAATGAGTGTTTTCCTATTCAAAGTCATCATCTTGAGTACTATTAATTTATTCCAATGATGTTTCCACTGCTTAAAACATTTTTGGAATTCCTAGTTAGTAACAAGCTTCAAAACAAGACTGTTAAACCAAAATAAAAACAACAAAACTCTTCAAAAACAACAAACAACTCATCATTCTAGTCATTCCTTTATTTATTTTTCTTTTTTCTTAAAAGAAACACAAATCTGTATTATTCTGCTTGACTACTTATTTTCCACAGCTCTGAACGACTGTTTTCAGAAGGCTCTATAGCATGTTTACTTCTAAAGTAAGGCTGCTTGGATTCTACCATGTGCTAACTATGTAACCTTAAGCTACATGCCCTCTTTGTGCACAAACAGCATTATTTCAATGAATTGTTTTAAAGATTAAAAAACATCATTCATGTAAAGTCTGCTCAATACCTAAGCAAGGAGTAAACTCTTGCTGAACGTTATTTTCAGATTAAAAATCATGTTTAAAAAAATGAAGTGTTACTGTTCCCTTTAAAGACAGTCCAAAAAACATGTGTAACTAACTGAGGACAAGAGATGGTCATTACATTGTCGGTGCCCTTCACTGCAATAAGCAGGTAGCTGCATAAGGCAAATACTTTGGTCTACCAATGCCGGTATATGGGTTATTAAACTTGTCATATTACTGACATCATCTTACAGGCCATAGAGAATAAACTAGAAACCTGTAACCATGTTTTATAGGCCTTCTATGTTTTAAAAAATGTTTTAAGTAGCTGCCAATCTTTCAAAAGCAAGAGATTTTACATTACAAATCTAGACTTGTAGCTTTCCTTTAAAATCAGAAAACAATCAGATGATATGGGCAGTATTTTAATATGGCAAAGATCAGCTGGGGCTGAAGGTGGCTGTCCATTAGAAAGAGCATGCACCCTCCAGGTTAACAGTACAGCTGCCACTGAGGCCACACCTATATTTCCATTGATCATCACACCTGAACTTTGTCTTTTGTTAAAGAGGAATGCGAAGCATTTCTTATGCCTAGTCAAATTTAATGATTAGGTTATTTGTCCTGCCTGTATGGGCTGCTATAGTCACATATATCACATGTTGTAAAGTAGCAGAAACCTAAAAGTTAATCAATTTCCCCTAAGTGACCTAATAATAGGCTTAAGAATAGGGTCAAAATAGTGAACTTACTCATAAATAGCTTTAGCATCCTCAGCACTTTTGTCCTTAAAATCAAGAAGCTCCTGAAGACTCTGGATATACCTAAAATGGAGATCAAGAGGATAAGTTCGTTCTTTTATATTCTGAAAGTTCAGTATCATGAAACTTAGCTCAAAAGCTATTTTTTGCATTTTATAATTTTTAACTTAGAGTACTGCTATAAATTATGGTTGAAGTAGAATTTTTACACCCATGCACATTCGAGCAAAGTGCTGGGAACAAATAGTAGAAGGTACACATTTTCTCCTAAAAGCATAGGTCAAGTTTAAGAATTTTAAGATTTTCTATTCTAAGTTCTACATCCTAAAATGGCTTTTAATGTTGTTGTTGTTTTTAATTTACCACTGTACATTACAGTATACATACTGATTATGCTGAGATCTGACTCTGTCACCAATAACTATGTGATCTTGGGCAAATGACTTAATTTGTCTTATTATCAGTAAAAGGAGGACGGCCTCTCTTGCTCTGAGACTCTATCTTAAATATCTATGCTTTAAAACCTTAATTTTACATGTTTATGTCCAACTAACAAGTATTTATTAATAGCCTATAATCGGCCGGGCGCGGTGGCTCAAGCCTGTAATCCCAGCACTGTGGGAGGCCGAGACGGGCGGATCACGAGGTCAGGAGATCGAGACCATCCTGGCTAACACGGTGAAACCCCGTCTCTACTAAAAATACAAAAAACTAGCCGGGCGAGGTGGCGGGCGCCTGTAGTCCCAGCTACTTGGGAGGCTGAGGCAGGAGAATGGCGTAAACCCGGGAGGCGGAGCTTGCAGTGAGCTGAGATCTGGCCACTGCACTCCAGCCTGGGCTGCACTCCAGCCTGGGCGACAGAGCGAGACTCCGTCTCAAAAAAAAAAAAAAAAAAAAAAAAAAAGCCTATAATCCACTATTATATGGTTCTTTTAAACTGAACAAAAATACAAAAAGTCATAAAAATGTAGATTTTAAATTCATCTAATAATTCAAGGTATCAAAGCATCTGTTAAGAAATGAGCAAAATAAAGAAGGCCAAATGATTTTCTGATGGTCTTGCAGGCAAGTACAATGGCACTGCCGGGCCAGAGCTAAAAATAACTTGCTACTACTGAACTACTTTTCTTTGAGAATGTAAGGGAACTATTACTTAGCTGTAAGCACTTCATCTGCAACTGCCCTAACTTAACAGGCATCTAGGAGCAATGAAAGTGTTTTAAAAACCTGTAATTCCATCTGTTGGTTTGGAAAGCTGTTTCTGACAAGCAGTATGTCTTAATGCATTCCAAAGTTAAGGGATTCTGATAGCCGCTGCTGCTTTGCTTTAACCCTTAATTTCCTCTTAATTGGTAAGAACAACTACGCTCTCCATCCAAGAGATAGCTGAGTACCTACAACAGATACCGATCAGACTTCATGACTGATAAGCTTCAAAAAGCAGCATATTCTACTTCTAATGAAGAATTTTTTAAAAACAGGAAAAATCTTCCATGGAATATTATATTTTCTCCTTTATATCCCATCATAATTCCTAAACAAATGCTTCCCATTTAAGTCACACTTACAACTATTCCATACTTGGACTAGATAGCATCTGATTATCATATATATAGCAATCATACTTCTTTTGCTTTTTTTAATCGAGATGAGATCAACTTCTCCCATACACTATAATGCCTACAAAAAGAAAACCTGAATCTCCATGAATCATAACTGGGAAATGCCCTGCAGCTGAACTTCTTCCATTTAAGACTTAACTCTAGGCAGCTCATTTATTTGAAGTGTATAGTGCTTAAAAGAACAACACTTTTAAAGCAGTAACATTAACAAAAGCTGTATATAGCTGGCTTCATGAGTGTATACCCTTAACATCTCTACTCATCTTTGGGAATAGATCACACTTTTTCTATACAATTCCAAAAACTTCTAATTGTTTTAAAACAGAAAAATAAACGTTTTAACTTTTGTAATTTATAAAAAGATACCCTTCAGTAAATAAAGTTTATTAAAAATACATATACCATTTCATATATTTCATTGTTCTGACTATAGAATGGTATAGCAGAGATGGACAAATGGGAGTTTGAATCCCAACTCCACTATCAATGGTACTGCCTTATGCAAAAGATTTAACCTTTATGTGCCTCAGCATCCTCATCTGTAAAACAAAGTTAACCTGCCAGGTGCAGTGGCTCATGTCTGTAATCCCAACACTTTGGGACGCCAAGGTGAGAGGACTGCTTGAGCCCAGGAGTTCACAACCTGCCTGGGCAAAAAAGTGAGACCCCATCTCTACAAAAAATAAAAGAATTCGTCAGGTATGGTGGCGCATGGCTGTGGTCCCAGCTGCTCGGGAGGCTAAGGCTGTAGGATCTCTTGAGCCCAGGAGGTCAAGACTGCAGTGAGCCATGATCACACTACTGCACTCTAGCCTGGGTGACGGAGACCCTGTCTCTAAAAAGAAAATAAATTCATTTTAAAAATAATAAACAGGCTGGGCACAATGGCTCATGCCCACAATCCCTGCACTTTGAGAGGCCCAGGTGAGCAAATCCCTTGAGCTCCGGAGTTTGAGGCCAGTCTAGGCAACATGGAAAAACCCCATCTCTGCTAAAAAATACAAAAATTAGCTGGGCGTGGCATGCGCTTGTGGTTTCAGCTACTCAGGAGGCTGAGGTGGGAGGATCACCTGAGCCAGGGAGGTAGAGGTTGCAGTGAGCTGAGCTGTGATCGCCACTGCACTCCAACATGGGTGACAGAGTAAGAGTAAGAACCTGTCTCAAAAAAATAAGTAAACAGGCTACGAGCGGTGGCTCACGCCTGTAATCCCAGCACTTTGGGAAGCCGAGGTGGGAGGATCACCTGAGGTCAGGAGTTTGAGACTAGCCTGGCCAACATGGTGAAACCTCTGTCTCTACTAAAAATACAAACATTAGCTGGGTGTGGTGGCAGGTGCCTGTATCCAGCTACTCTGGAGGCCGAGGCAAGAGAATTACTTGAACCCAGGAGGCAGAGGTTGCAGTGAGCCAAGATCATGCACTCCAGCCTGGGTGACAGAGCAAGACTCCATTTAAAAAAAATAAATACATAAATAAATAAAAATAACAACAATGAATAAAATGGAGACATTCATACCTACTGTTCAAGGTTGTTAAAGGGATTAAAGGCAATAAACATAAATACCTAGTCATCAACAAATTGTAGACATTTTTCTCATAATATCCTTGCAGATATACTAACATAAATCCTAAATTTAGCATCTGTATTTCAGTGCAGTTCTAATTGGTTTTCTCAAAATCAAGGAGTTGTGGAGTCCAGGATTCAGGGCACAAGCCCAAATACATTGCCCCCACCTGCCCCCAGCCAAAAAAAGGAGAATACTGCTACTACCTTAAGATTCTGGCCAGGCACGGTGGCTCATGCCTGTAATCCCAACACTTTGGGAGGCCAAGGCAGGCGGATCATGAGGTCAGGAGATCGAGATCATCCTGACCAACATGGTGAAACCCTGTATCTACTAAAAATACAAAAATTAGCTGGGCATGGTGGCACATGCCTGTAATCCCAGTTACTCGGGAGGCTGAGGCAGGAGAATTGCCTGAACCAGTGAGTTGGAGGTTGCAGTGAGCTGAGATTGTGCCAATGCACTCCAGCCTGGCCTAAGAGCAGGACTCCCTCTCAAAAAAAAAAAAAAAAAAAAAAAAAAGATTCCACTGAAGAGTAAAAAAAGCATTTGCCATAACCTTGAATAGAGTCCACAACTCCATCAAATTGCAAACACAAGATGAGAATCTTACCAGCTTTGTACCAATTGAACGGATGGTGTTCTGAGAAGATTATCTGGAAGGAGACTTATTTCTTTCATTATATTTGCCAGTCTGACAGGCAACTCTTGCCGCAGAAACATAAATGAGGTCTTTTCACAAGCATTCACTGATCCTGAAACCAAACATGATGGGTAAAGCAGTAAGTAAAAGCCATAAGGAAACCGAAGGCAAGAGGCAGGGACAAATGAGAGGCAGTTACCTGGCAAGGCCAGAGGGGTAGAATCACCACGATGGGGCAGGGAATAGAAGGCAAAGGTATCCCTGCCTGTGGGAGGTGAGGGATGAGATAACCCAGTCTCCAGAGTTATGACATTCCAATTAGTGACATTCCAATGGCTCTGTACAGCAATTACGATAACCTTGTCTCCCTAACTTGCATCCTCATAGTGATGACCCATTTTAGAAGTTAGGTAAACTGAGCATTTCTGAGCAAGGCTTTATAAAATCAGCAGCAGAACCTGGAAAAGTCTAGCCTGTACACCCTGTTGCTGCTATCATTTAGAAAATCTGTTTTTTAACTCTAGGTTTAAAAAGAGTTAATGTCTGTCTAAGAAACAGAAACTTTAAGGTGGTCTGAATGCAGTGGTATTTACGACTAATTGATTACGACCAGTTACAGATTTCTTTGTTCCTTCTCCACTCCCACTGTTTCACTTGACTAGCCTTAAAAAAATAAATTAAAAACAGGCGGCCAGGCACAGTGATTCATGCCTATAATTCCAGCACTTTGCGAGGCTGAGGCTTGAGGACTGTTTGAGCGCAGGGGTTCAAGACCAGCCTGGGCAACACAATGAGACCTCGTATTTATAAAAAATAAAAAACAGCTGGGCGTGGTTGTGCTTGCCTGTAGTTCTAGCCTTGGGAGGCTCAGGCAGAAAAGTGAGGTTATAGTGTGCTATGATAGCACCACTGCACTCCAGCCTGGGTGACAGAGTAAAACCCTGTCTCAAACAAAAAGAAAGAGTAAAATTTTGATGTTTGCATATGAAGATTCACTGATTCCATACAGAATCACAAATGCTAATTACTGTAAGCAAAGAGTAAGTGGAGTCCAGGTGTGGTGGCTCACACCTATAATCACTTTGGGAGGCCAAGCTGGGAGGATGGCTTGAGCCCAGGGGTTTAAGACCAGCCTGGACAACACAGCGAGACCCCATTTCTATTTTTAAAAAAAATGTATATATGTATACACACACACACACACACACACACACACACACGCGGGAAAAAAGAGTAAGTGCAGGGGAAAGCTTTCAAGCAACAGAAAGCAAAAACCACCACTGCCTGTTAGCACCATCTTCAAGTAGGTCCTATTCAATTGTCCGGTTACTGGAAAGTCTCCTGACCCCTCCACCACCATATCACGATCCCGTATCACTTTCTAAGCAGAATCGTTGTAGAATATCCTTTGGCAAACAGCTCCACTTAATATTAAACTAAAAAGTCTTATTATTCCAGTAAAGCATTTTAAGCTTGCTATTCCTGCTGCTTTAGCAGAGAAAACGTTAGCAAAAACTAGATTGTCAATAGTAGAAATTAAGGTATTAAAGGAAAATAGCTTGTGCAAGTTTCATGGCATACTTATGACCACCACCAAATTCGCCCCTTCGTCGAACTAGGGTCATTTTAAAGTAAAAACAAAAACCTAAGGCTTTGACCCAAAAATTATGCCACTGTAAACCTTTGTAAAACTTTGTTTTAAGACAAAGTTGTCAACCATGCAGGTATCATTCAATGCAGAAGTCACAATGCAGAAGATAACCTTTGTACTCAAATTTTATGAATTCATTAAGGTTTTCCCTTTTCCCCTCATTGCCTTCATAGGTAAGTGGGAAGTAAAAGTTAAAATGCCTAACTATGCAATTCCTTCTGCAATCTGTTTAACAGCTTCCCGAGAAAACAAGGATAATCTGGTAAACTTCACAGCATCCTGTCCTCATGCACTCAACACGTGCTCAAGACTTACTTGCTGATGATGAAATGTGCTGTTGGTGCAAACAATTTATGCCACCGGCAAGGAAAACATTCTAAGAAACTCTGGGCCAGTTATAACCTGCCTTGCCTATGATCATGCCATTTCTGTGCAATCATCATATGCAAAACTGGGCATTCATCATCACTGTGCGGAATCCAAAAGCGATTCTCGGGGGTTTCCACGCTCGGCCTCCCACGCGGGCGCGCCTCCTTGGAAGGGGCCTGGCAGAGCGCGCACCTGCACACGTGCGCCGGAGGGCGAGCGGTCATTCCGCGGCCCAGCTGGTTTGTTTTCAACAATACGATCAAAGCCACACGCCCACCGTTATTTACGCCGTCAGCCAGCGCCGGCACTCAGAGGGAGGAAGGAAGCACCTAAGGCGCTGGGGGCGGAAACACTGAGGAGGAGGGCTGCGCCTCAGGCGAGAGCTGGCCGGCGCCGACCGGGCCTGGGGCAGGGGCCGCAACTCCCCGCCTGGGACCGCGCACAAAGGCCCGAAGTCCGGGCCGCACTCACCGAAGTCCAGGAACTGCTTCATGGAGAGCGGGGACGGTGAGAAGCGCGCGTAGAAGTCCACCTGGCCCGGAAGGCCGCGCTCGGACGCTGGGCCGGAGCCCGAGTCCGAGCTGAAGGTGCGGCTCGGGCAGGCGGCGCGCAGCCCCTGGCCCGGGACGGCCAAGGCAGCTCCGCGAAGCAGCCGCGCCAGCCTCATGCCGAGCCCCTCTAGAGAAGCCAGAGCCCGGGCGCCGCGTTTCCCCGCGCCTCTGCCGAGTGGTACGTGAGGGACGTGGCGGGCAGTAGGGGAGGGGAGCGGCTGTCACCCGCGCGGCCCCCACCCCTCTCGCCGGAGCCCGGCCCCCTGCGCCGCTGGGCGGGATGCGGAGCGGGAAGGAGGCGGGGAGAGAAAAGGGGGCGGGCGCAGCGCCCGCCCCCTCGCCGGAGTCCCGCCCAGCCCCGCGGGGAAGGAGATGAGGAACGCGCGCCAGGCCGCAGCCGGCGCCCAGATCCCGCCGCCGCCAGCGAGGTGTGGGGTGCGCGTGGCTGTGGTCCCCGTACATGTCGGGTGACCGGACCGGGGACACTAAGAGGCGAGGCGGTGTGGAGCGTCCCCTTTCCGCGCCCTTTAGAAACAAATCCCACCTTCCTGCTTCCTCTGCCCTCCCAGTCTCAGCCAAAAGGCTCAAGGAGAGGGCGGCCCTCCGCTTGCACACACCGCGGTGTCCTGCTGCGAGCGCGTTCTAAAAACGCTTCTCTGTGACGCAAGCCACACATTTTTCAGGGTCAGAGAGCTTCGGGAGTCCCCGCTTGCCAAACAGTGGTACGTGTGGCCCTAAATAGTATCACCGAGACGGCGGCCGCCGGAGGAGAGACGTACTGCCATGTACTGGCTGTGTGCCTTTGAGTGAGCTATTTAACCTCTCTGAGCCTCCATCTCTTTACCTGAAAAAGAAGCGTAATATCTGCCTCAGTTGCTCTGACATGGGTAGTAGAGCTATCTGTGTTAGCACAATGCCGGGGACATACCAGATAATAAATGGGATTTATTTTTACCATTATTGCTTTTTAAAATTATGTCTTTATTAAGATTTTATCAGAACCACTTACCTGTGTTTTCCCTGAAGCACATTTTACCAAAAGTTTGAGAGAAAACAACGGTTTTTGGCGGTTTTATAACTATTTGACGTATTCGAGTATCAGCAGTTCTTCTCCCACACTGACTGTAGGTTTTAGAAAGTGTAACGGGTACATAGTTTTGTGAACCCCGAAAGTTTGAGACAAGTCTCGATTAATGTATAAAGCTTATCTTGGCAAAGTTGAGAACACGTCCGTCTCTGTATGTAAGAAGCAGACAACTTGAAGCAGGGAGGAAGGCTTCCAGGTTATAGGTAGGTGAGAGACAAATGGTTGCAGTCTTGAGTTTCTGATAAGCCTTTCCAAAACAGGCAATCAGATATACATCTATCTCAGCAGAGGGATGACTTTGAATAGAATGGGAGGCAGGTTTGCCTTGAGCAGTTCCCAGCTTGAATTTTCCCTTTAGATCAGTGATTTTGGGGCCCATGTTATTTTCCTTTCACATTTCGGTGAATCTTCATTCTCATTATGTTTTTCTGGACGATCACACGTGGATACGGTATGGGACATTATTCGTTTGGCCCTGACAGCTTTGTCAAACCTGGTATCAGTGTGCACATCTGGAGTTCCGATCTCTTTCTTGGCAAATTCCCAGATATCTTTGCTGAGTGCCCAAGGGGCACACTTCTTGAAGTCCATTTCAATGGGATGTGCTTGGGAATGTTGATGGTGTCACCACCTCATTGGTGGCTGAATGGCCCCCTTCTGCTTCCCACCCTTCTTCTGCAGTGCCCAAGTTGGAATGAAGAAAACAATTTTGAGTATTACACATTCTTAAAATAATCCACCAAACATTTCCACAGCTCTACTCCAGCTTCTCAGGTTGCCTCCTCCTTTCTTCTTTCCTTCTAGATTATTTCCTGAGCTCCAAAGTCTTGTCACTTTATCATACACACCATTATTCAGCTTCCTCAATCCCTGTTTGCAATTTTGCTGCTTTCTGCCTGAGCATGTCAAGATGCTCAGCTGAACATTAATTTATGTGAAAGCACAAAGGCCCAGCAGAAACTTTGAGACTATTTTAGCAAGATTTTCCCCCCCAGGAAGGAATCAACTGTTGTATAAAGTGCTTTTTCTTTTCTCCAAAGTATATTCGCCATGCTTCAATCAATATACGGAGAATGTGCATATAAAAGCACATATTAAGTGGTGTCAACTTTTGCTTCTTAGTCAAAGACTTTGGGTCCAGAAACTGGAGAGAACTTTTGAGGACTTTAGTAAAGAGCTATATTTTCTGTTGTTATGGTCTGAATGTGTCCCCTAAAATTCGTATGTTGAAACTTATCAATGTGGTAGTATTAAGAGGTGGGGCCTTTAGGAGGGAATTAAGTCATGAGGGCAGAGCCTTATAAAAGGGCCTAAGGGGGTGAGTCTGTTCCTACCATCTCTTCTACCATGTGAGTGAAACTGCCTTTGAAAAATTATAACAGTGAGAAAATTCTGACAGTGAAAGAGATCTGACCTAACCAACTCCATCTTGCTTCTCACTTCCAAGCTGCCCTTGTTTATTCATGAGCATAGGCCAAACTAACTTTGGGAGGAATTTGGTTTATATATTAACTTTGAAACAAAGATAACAGCTCCTCCATGAAACAAACCCCCAGCTTTCCTGGGGACCGAAACACCTTTGTTAAACTAACAAATTAGGCAGGGCACAATGGCTTACGCCTGTAATCCCAGCACTTTGGGGGGCCAAAGTGGGAAGATTGCATAAGTCCAGGACTTCGAGACCAGTCTGGGCAGTATAGACCTTGTCTCTACAAAAAATGAACAAAATTAGCTGGGCATGGTGGCACGTGCCTGTAGTGCTTCGTGGGGAGCATCAGTTGTGAGCCCAGGAGATGTAGTTTGCAGTGAGCCAAGATCCTGCCGCGTCATTTCTGCCTGTGTGACAGAGCGAGACCTTGTCTCAAAAAATAAGTAAACTAACAAATTAGCTACAAGATTAGAAATTATAACTCAGGAGTCATGCAGTCAGAGTCCACAAGATCACTGACCTCCGCAATTGCTCCTATAGATAACATTGCTATTATAAAACCAAATGTTGGTGTTTGAGTTATTTTTCAAACCCTGAATTCCAATGGACCAGGTAGAACCACAAAGATAAGTAAAATGACTCCTCTGGTCTTGTGGCCCCCACCCAGAAACTGACTAAGTGTAAGATGACAGTTTCGACTTCCTATAATTTTATTCCTGACCCAACCAATCAGCATTCCCCATTCTCTAACCTGCTGTCTGCCAAACTATCTTTAAAAAACCCTAGCCTCTGAATTTCTGGGAGGTTGATTTGAGTAGTAATAAAACTCTCATCTTCCATTTAGCCAGCTCCACAGGCATTAAACTCTTTGTCTTGATAAATTGGCTCTATCTGGGCAGCAGGCAGGAAAAACCTGTTGGGTGGTTACACAGCAAGAAAGCCCTTACCAGACATTGAATTCAGGCATCTTGATCTTGAACTTCCCAGCCTCTAGAAGTGTAAGAAAACTAATTTCTATTGCTTATAAATTACCCAGACTGAAATATTTTGTTACTGCACCACTAACAGACTAAGACACACATGTAGATATAAAGTATAATCATACTGTAAGCTTCTATAGAAAAATTTTTACGTAGCAGACATGGGCCAGCCCCTGTAAATTCACTAAGAATTTATGATCCATGTTGGACTGATGTGACTGAAAGGAATGGAAAAAGCAATAGAAAACAAGTAAACTCTGTCACCTTGTACCCGGTACCCTCTGGCTTCATGAGGTTCAAAAGACAAAAGGAAAGAAAAGTCATGATATTTTCCCCCCCAACACCTTTCTTCAAGGCTATAATTTGTGTTCAAGGATGGCCACAGCTTCCTACCCTTGTCCAGTATCCCTAGAGATAGTACTAATTTTTCTCTGTTGCTGATTGGGTGCTCACCAGCCCTGGAGGTTTAATTCTGCCCACACTCCTGTAAATAGTCCCTTCATTCATTAATCAGTTTCCCTTTTGAGTATGCTATCATTTCCTGCCCTAGAACCCTTTTTGATATGCTGGAAAGATAATTTTCAAAAAAGGTGACATAATGACTCATGCAGCTGTAAAATGAACATGTGTCAAATTTTATTTAATACATTAATTAAACGAGGGAACCAGTGAAGATATTATAGCCAGTTCAAAGGAGAAGTGAAAAAACAGGAATACAGAAAAATTTGCAAAGGCTGTAAAACTGGCTCTTTCCTTGGGAATCAGGGAGGGTTGCCCTTCTACCTCACAGAATTTATTTGCGCATGTATAGGTAAGAATTATGTGTAGTGTTACCATTCATCTACAATTTATAGAGCTGTAAAATAGCTCAAAGACAGTGAATCAGAATCAGATATCCTAAAAAGTTATGCTCTAAACAATACATAATATTCCACTGAAGCATAATTTTTCTCCATATACATTTGCCTTCTTTCTTTAAAGGGTACTTTGATTCAGGTAATTACTTGTGTAGTGATATGAGGGCATCCTATTCACCAGGATTTATTTAGCAAAAACATAGTTTTTATCTGGAGTAAGTGCTTTGAAATGCTGCTGGAGTGGAAGGAGAGATCTCTAGGGAAGGCTCAGAACAGCTTTACGGGAAGCTAGGAGAGGAATTCACTTTGTAGAGCAAAGGGGAAGGGGAGGAGGCAGAAGATTGCAAAGACTGTTCACAACGTGAGCACTCCTTGTAACCCAAACCCTCAGTAAAGTTTGCAAAAAGAGATTATTGGATACTGACTCTTTTATGTGTTGTACTTTTGTGAAAATTGGAGGAAAGGATGATTTTTTATGAGAGTTTGTGGCAATGGGGATAGACTTTGCACATAAAGAGTATGAGTGGTGGTGGCGTGGGTGGGCCTATAAATGAGACTATGAGCCTCAAGAATTTACAGACATGGACAGGGAGAACTCTAGACTTCCACAAAATGAGACTGGTAATGTTAAAAGATAAATTTGGGCACATTAAAAGTTGTAAAAATTTATTTGAACTGTTGATTTAAAAAGAAGACTCAGACTCTGTAAAATAGTTTAAGAGATTTATTCCGAGTCAAATATGAGTGACCAAGGCCTGAGGCACAGTCTCAAGAGGTCCTGAAAACATGTGCCCAAGGTGGTTGAGTTATAGCTTGATTTTATACATTTTTAGGGGAACAGAAGTTGCAGGCACACATCACTCAGTACATGTAAAGTGTACACTGCTTTGGTCTGGAAAGGCAGGACAACTTTAAGACATAATATAGGGGGGTTGGGAAA